AAAATAATGCGGTATCGCCCGCGCATTTTGAATGGCTGCATCTGTATACCACACATTAAAGCCAGCATTCCAAAAACACTTGATCCTCTACAGTTTGCCTATTGCAGAAACCGCTCTATAGCTTTACACACCACACTAACCCACCTGGATAAAAGGAAAACCTATACAAGAACGCTGTTCATTGTCTTTAGCTCAGCATTTAACACCATCATACCCATACAACTTGCTACCAAACTCCGGGCTCTGGATCTAGATACCACCCTCTGTAGCTGGATCCTAGACTTCCTCACCAGCAGACCCCAGACTGTCAGGATTGGCACACTCACCTCCAGCATGCTCACCATTAACACCTCAAGGTTGTGTTCAGCCCACGACTGTACTGCCATGTTCAGCACAAGCACCATAATCAAGTATGCTGACAATACCACAGTCATGGGCCTGATCACTGACAACGATGAGACTGCCTACAGGGAGGAGATAAAATAACTTGCAGACTGGTGCCGAGCCAACAACCTATGTCTCAACATCAGCAAAACCAAAGAGCTGATTGTTGACTTCAGGAGACAAGGAAAAGTCCACTACCCCATCTACATTGGTGAATTACTTAAAATTCCTAGGTGTTCACATCTCTAAGGTCCTCACTCAGCACCTCCAGTCTCATCAAGAAGGCACAACAGCAGCTGTACTTCCTGAGAAGGGTGAAGAAAATATGCCTGCATCCACGGATCCTCACCAACTTCTACATATGTACGGTGGAGAGCATTCTGACCAGCTGCATCACAGTCTGGTACGGCAACTGCACCACATCTGACCGTAAGGCACTTCAGCAGGGTCAAAACTGGCTCAGTTGGGTTAAAACTGCCCAACACACGGCCAACAACTGGTTTGTCCCCCTACCATCTGGTAGAAGGTTCCGGACGCTCCAGTCACAAACAACAAGACTACAAAATAGCTTCTTTCCCAGAGCTGTCAAGCTGGTGACGCCCCCACACCCTCCCATCATATTATGATCTCTCCTCACTTCTTCCTGTACCCATAATGACTGTACTCCTACACCACTACATACATGACAACTGAATGTAAGCAAAAATTTTACTTGAAACTGTACTAGTTGGACTATTTAATAATTGCCGTATTATGTTTGCACTGTTTTTTGGCCGTATTACTTTTGCACTGTTTTTGTCCTGTTTGTGTACTTTTCTCAGTGTAATTGCACAATTTTTGACAAATTTTCACTGAGGTTCCTATGAGATGATGACTTGTAGGTGGTACTTGGATGCTTTGGTTGGATTAGGGGTGGTACTTGGTCTGAAAAGTTTGAAAACCACTGTTCTAAGAAATAACATGCATGGTTTGCTGTGATTGATATCAGACATAAGATTTTAAAAATGAGATATATGTGCTAAAAACGAATTTTGCATCTTTTGAGAGTTCATTTTAAAAGCAGTTTAATATCCTAAGACTGTACTAGTTGGACTATTTAATAATTGCCGTATTATGTTTGCACTGTTTTTTCGCCATATTACTTTTGCACTGTTTTTGTCCTGTTTGTATACTTTTCTCAGTGTAATTGCACAGTTTTTGACAAATTTTCACTGGCACCATACTGTTATTTACACTGTTATTGTTATTGTATTTCTGTCTATTGTCTTGTCTGGTGTTCTATTTATATATGGCACCTGAGAGACTAATGAGAAACACTTTTCACTATACTATGCACCTGTGTAAGTATTATGACAAATAAAATTGAGTTGAGTATGAGTCAATGAAATTGAGCAGATGTTTACAAAGAAAGTGGAATACGGTAATACTTTGAGCTATATGTTATTTGTTAAAGGAAACCTTGTGCCCTAAGCGGAAATCGAACACGGGCTTCCAGAGTGCAAGGCACACACCAAAGCAATTGTACGAACACGCTGTTCGAAAATTTACACTAGAGCTGAAAAGGACAGGCAAATTGATGCAGATGTTTACAAAAAAAGTGGATTACGGCAATACTTTGAGCTATATAAATATATTATATCAAAACTTTTCCAAAATATCCACAGTAAGTGACCCAGTGAAAGACTTTGATACATAAAATGTTTATGAAGAAAGTGGAATGCTGTTGTGTATTTTTTATTTGAACAACCTGGTAGTGCTGGTTAGATGTATACACTGGATGCCTGTATACATCTTCATCTCCAAAGTTCGACTAAATAAAGAACTGAATTTGAGCTACCAAAATTTCCCTTTAGTTGTAAAATTCTATATTAATATTCCATATTAAGCAGATTTAAGATTAAATGGAACAATCGTTTCACTAACAACTAATATACCACAAGTACCACATGTCTATCATTTTAGCCAGCGAATCACATACTGCAGTAGCAAAGCCATCTCAAGGGTGGGGGGAGAAGGGGGCGGCTGCCCAGGGCCGCACGCCCGGCCATCCCACCCCCATCCCAAATCCCGCTTCACACACGCATAGAAATATAACCAAATAAATGTATATAAACACATACGTTTAAACATATTAATACAGCCACACACACAACTCTTTTTTTAACTCAAGATGAAATGTGTTAGTGGGGGAGCAGATGATTTATTCAGAACTGGAGGCATGTCCCGCACTAACTACGTCATTGGTCATCAGTTGCAAGCTAAAAGTTATTGCTAACTAGTTTGGAAAAAATGGTAGGCGGTGGGAAAATGGCGAGCACAAGCAGAGATAGAGACAAATTTTGAAAATACTACAGTGGGTGCGAGAAAAGAAAAAGGAAGCAGAAAAGGAGGATGCAAATGTGGCCCTTAAAGAGTCTTTGGAAAGGTTCGTTGTAAAAACCAGGAGCGAAGAAGAACCGGACACGGGTGGTTATATGACAATAGCAAGCATTGAGACACCTGGAGGTACCGATAGCATTAGCAACAACTCCGATTAGTAGTTATGTTCGGTTCTGTATGTCTGTTTGCACAGGCCAGTTAGGTAGAAATTTCATCACCTCAGCGCTGCTCCATACTGCTGTTTACACTTAACATAAGAACCTCCCCAACCTGTTCCCGCAACACCGATTCTGCCCTGGGCCCTGCCCACCCCTTGAGATGACCCTGTGCGGTAGCCAGTAGCTCAAAACCCGCAGTACTGGGATTTAACTTGCATTTTGAATGGCTACATCTGTATGCAGGGAGTGGTCAGTTACTGCCATAAAGTCCTGTGGCTCATTTAAGGTTGCAGTTGGCCTCTTAGTAGCCTCCCTGATGAGCTTTATCCTTTCCCAGTCATCAGTTTTGGAGGGATGTCCTGATCTTTGCAGTGTCCTGGTGGTGCCATATTTTTTCCACTTTTTAATGATGATCTTCACAGTGTTCCATGATATATGTAATGCCTTCGAAATGAAGTGAAAGCAAATTACCTTAGTACATGATTTGGAATGTGATTTTTTATAAAGGGTGTGCACACTTATGCAACCAAGGCATTGAAAGTTTTTTATTTGTAATTATTTTTCCTAAAAATGATCTCTTTGTTTTCCACTCAAATATTGTTGGTTACAAGATCTTATTAAAGTTCTGACATGATTTGTCTTAATTTCAGCCTTTACACCACCAAAATTTGAAATTTCAATAAGGGCGTATGGACTTTTAATATCTACAGTACTGTATATAATCGTGCATTCTTCTAATCTAAGAAATAACATGCATGGTTTGCTGTGATTGATATCAGACATAAGATTATAAAAATGAGATATATGTGCTAAAAACAAATTTTGCAGCTTTTGAGAGTTCATTTTAAAAGCAGTTTAATATCCTAAGATGAAAGCAAAGAGAATAAGAACAAATTGTACAGAACAGGTGGTGTTGTGCTGTTTTTAAGTACAAGTGATTTGCGTGTGTTTTTCTATGTGGCATGCTGACTGTGGGAATGTCCTTCCAGGGAATCCATACTATGACAGCCTGGGCTCGCTGGGTGTGGGCACCCTTCTGGGAACTGTGTCTGCCTTCCTGATATACACAAACACTGAAGCCCTGCTGGGGAGGTCCATCCAGGCAGAACAGGTGCAGAAACTCACCGAATTCCTGGAAAGTGATCCAGCTGTAAGGTGAGCGCTTTCTCATATCTGGATTATCTGTTTTTCTTTTCCATGTTTATTGAAATTAAAATGTCTCCACATTTGAATTAACATATGTTATTCTATATTCTCTGTTGCGTTTGCACCATTGAGATGCACTCCAAATGTATTAATGTCCTTGTTGAAATAGGTACAGTAAATATCTAATAACAGTAAGATTTGGAGTTTGGATCTTTCTTGCTTGAATAATTATAAATTTGTTGTTCAGTGATTATCATAGCATTGCACAGAGCAATGTCATATTTGTCATAAATTAATTTAAGTCCATAAAACACAAGGTCCAAATTTATTCTCAACCCTGTAGTTAGTGTTTTGGCATTCCTTCTCTGGCAGATGCCACCTGTAGTGTCTATTTAGGTTTGGGCACTTCAGATGGAAACCTTTATGAACAAGTCCTTCAAAATGTTTGGCTCCCATTATTAGCAGCCATATCACCCTGCAACTCACAACTGGCAACCCATTGAAGCTAAGCAGGTGTGAGCCTGGTCAGTACCTGGATGAGAGACCTCCTGGGAAAAACTAAGGTTACTGCTGGAAGAGGTGTTAGTGGGGCCAGCAGGGGGACACTCACCCTGTTGTCCATGTGGGTCCTAATGCCCCAGTATAGTGACAGGGACACTTTACTGTAAACAGGCGCTGTCCTTCGGATGAGACGTTAAACCGAGATCCTGACTCTCTGTGTTCATTAAAAATCCCAGGGCGTTTCTTGAAAAGAGTGGGGTGTAACCCTGGCGTCCTGGCCAAATTTCCCATTGATTTCCCAATCATGGCCTCCTAATAATCCCCATCTATGAATTGGCTACATTACTCTGCTTTCCTCCCCACTGATAGCTGATGTGTGGTGAGCGTTCTGGCGCACTATGGCTGCCATCGTATCTTCCATGTGGATGCTGCACATTGGTAGTGGTGGAGGAGAGTCCCCATTACCTGTAAAGTGCTTTTAGTGGAGTGTCCAGATATATAAGTGTAAGCAATTATTAAATTATTATAATTATTATTATTATTGTACCGCCATTAGTTTCACAGTTGTTCAGTTGAATTGAGGTTTGGCGATTGAGATGGCCAGTCCAAAATTTGTATTTTGTGTTCAGTTAACCCTTCCTTTATTGATTTGGATGTATATTTTGGATCATTGTCAAGATGGATTTCTAAATGGTGTCTGGACAGAACATCCTGGGATTTGTTGGATTTCATGATTTCACAGATGCAGCCATACCTGTGAAACCGGTTTGTTTACAAACAATGTAGACACAGAGACTCAGAGGTACAGCCAGCACTCTCAGACAGATAGAAATGCGATAACCGCCTAGCACCAGGTGAATGCACAACATTAATGTAGGGCTTTCAGGCTCACATGGATTTGCGCCCTACACCCTGCAGTACCGCTGTGTACATACAGTACGAACATGTTGTGATATTTAGAAATATAAAAAATTTCAATATAATGCCAATAATATTTGCTATTTTAGTTTTTCACAGAAATGTTTATTTGTTAAAAGAAAACTGATGGCGACAGCTGGGTTTGAGCACTCGACCTCACGGTTATAAGTACGCTGGGCAAACGTTCCGAGGTCGCTTAAGCCACTCCTATTTGGCATTTTAGTTATGGAGGCGAGAAGACGCCCCCCCCCTCCTCTGGGTGTCTGATTTGCCGCCATATTTAACTGTTCCGTTTCCGAATGGTAGTAGCTATGCGTACGAAATAAAGTTAATTCCAGCTGACAACATATATATTTTTGTGGTAAGAGGGCGCAAAACATCAGTATTTACTGCTATTAATTACTGTACGATTTATAGTTGAAATCTGAGCCTAGGTATAAAGTTAGATATAAAGTTAAAATCTCGACAAAGCAATGTAGGAGATACAGAGAAAATAAATCCTTTCTGACATCTAAAATCAGTTTCGATCAAGGTCTCTAAAACGAACAAGATAAAGAGGATTTTCGGAGGGCAATTACGCTGTGTTTATATAGGATAAGTGATTTATGAGCAATCTAATTTCTTGTTCGTTTAAAACAGTGAAATGTCAGCTGCAAAAGATCGCACCAGAAACAGCACTCTCTCTGCCTGTCGTAGACGTTCAGGAAAGGCTGAATGAAGTCATGTCAAGAACAATAATTCGGTGATCAATAATAACAGTTGTAGGACAAGAAACAAAAGATAATGAAAACTTAAGCTTTTTTAGGCTAAAACTCAAGTTCATTCTACAAATTAAGACAAATGAAAATTCAAGACGTTAAAGTGCTAGAGGTGTAAAAAATACAAAAATGCACATGAGTAAAAAGTTTTAGAAATGGAGCAGGTGTTGCTTTGAAATAAGCAAACAGAAAAAAGCCATGACTATAGTGCAGAAGAGGGATGCAGGAACACTTGCTTAGATATACAAAAACATCACAAAAAGGTGTATGTTACAAAAGAACATGCAAACATGTTCATCATGTACATCAATTTCCCTTCGCGATCAATAAAGTCTTATCTATAAACATGAACCAGAGTGAGGAATCAGAAAATTAGCATGCATAAAAAACAGCAATTCTGTCAATGAGCCCTAAATGAATTAATAGCAACCATGGTTTCATGGAGGGCTTCTCAGATAGTTGGGCATTCAGGTAGATTGCCAGGTGAAAGGATTTGTAAACATACTTTGTTAAAGCAAGTCAGTTTTTTCCGCAACACATAAAATACATTTTTCCAAGAAAGTTTAGCCTTTATCACTAATGAAACCACTAAATAAAAACATAAATATAGAAATCTTAAGATTTTTTTTATTCAATGTTGGTAGCAGGATGAACTGTGCTAAGTGTATATTTTGTTGCAGAGTTGCTGCAAGATGTTAACAGTGAAAAAAGGTATTTAGAAATGAGTTATTTCAAGAAGAAAATTTCCAGAATAATTGCAAATCTAGCAGGATAGAGAAAGCACAGAAAACAGGCAGTTAGATTGATCAGATTAGTATGAAAAGTTATTTAGCAAAGGGAATGAGAAGAGTGACAAACTAGTATACTTTAGATATTTTTATCTGAACCAGGGAAAACTGAAGATGTTTCTCTATAACAATAATAAAAAACTTTATTTTATATATCACCTTTACAAGTGGCATCTCAAAGCAATACAGTAGATATAAACACAGATAAAAGGACCACAGATTACAAAGTAAATACATATAAGAAAGACAAGCAGTTAGAGGTGCTACCAAAATTAGAAAATGAAGCAGATACAGACACTAAGTCTTCTGAAAAGAAAGGTTCTGAGGTTAGATTTAAATGCACTCAGGGTACGTGACTGATATCACTGGGAATACAATTTGAGAGCTCTGGGGTGCAACTAGAGAAGACCCTGTCACCCACAGAATGTAAATGTTCTTGGGGACAGCTAGAAGACCAGAGTCAGACGGACAAAGGTGGGGAGTAGACAGATAATAAGCCATATACTGTAGGTACTGAATGAGGATGAGGATTTTGAAGTTGACTCGAAACCTGATAGGTAACCAATGCAAGGACTTGAAAACAGGTGTAATACATCCCTGATAGGATTCTCGCTGTCATATTCTGAACATATTGAAGATTGCTCAGTGTGGATTTAATTTCCCCAGTGAACAGGATGTGCATTTATTAATTCTAGAAAAAAAGCCTTTCTTGATTTCTCTAGTTCTTAGTTTCTCTAGTTCCCTTTAAAATAAACTATTATTCCACAATGCAGAGTATTGCATGGCCAGTATTTACACATGATATTTGTGATTTAAAGAAATTAACACAAGCTGCTTTTGGAAATCTAAGTGTTGGCTGAGTTATTGCAGGATTAAAGACTAGAGATGTTGGTAAGAAGAAGATAATTTTGGGATAGCTGAGGAATACACTGATAACAAGAACACTTCCTAATGGGGTTAGGCATACTTTTGATGAAGATGATGAGATGCTGCCATTTCATAGTGGGTTTCTAACACTGTGTATAGTTCCATCCACACAGTGCCTTTACTTCCATCCATTTTCTAATCTCTTTATCCAGTACAGAGGATTTGGAGCCTATCCCAGTAAGCAACGGACGCAAGGCAGAATACACCTGGACATCACAGGACAGACAGACACAAAACACACACACACACCAGGGCCAGTTTTCCCATAAACCAATTAACTTACCAGTATGTTTTGGAGTGTGAGAGGGAGTCATATCACACATATGGAGAAAAACCATGTAACCCAGAGAGAACATGCAAACCCCACACACACAGGATGGCAGGAATTGAACCTAGGACCTCAGTACTCCAAGATAGCAATGCTAACCACTTTGCCACCATTATAAATGGATGGATATCTTAGTTATCTTTCTAGTTCACAGGTTTCCATGCATAATTTAATTTTGAAAGCCACTGAGACATCAGGTACTACTGTTGTATTTATGAAAAAGAAACAAAACAAAAAGCATACTAACAACTGTGCCATCCTACTCTTTAGTTAATACAATTTATTATTTATAAACAGTTAACATTGTAAGCAAAATATTTTGAATTGTATTTAACCCTATTTTTTCTTTAGTTTTGTATTTAACGTATTATATGATAGTCAGATTTAATGTATATTTGAACAATGAAAATATATTTTTACAAGATGCAGGGGAAAGTGCAACAACTTATTACAGTGCTAAATTTAATATTGATTGCTAATAGTTTATGCTAACACCTAACTTTCTTAATTAGATGTTTTTAAAACAGTGAACTAAGTGTAACATACCATTCAGAAATACAATCGAGAATAGTTTTGTGGTGTTTGTATGGATGAAACGTTTCTAAAATGTATAACGTAACAAATTAAAGACGATTAAAATCTGTAGTCTTTCCACTTGTAATGTCATTAGACAGAACAAGAAGTTTCTGCTTTGTCTAAGGATGGTATCAAAAAGTAGTCTAAGTGGTGAGAAAGCTGTGCTTAATGATAATTAAGTGACTTAAAAGTAAAAAGAGATGCTTCATATTG